TATCGTCTTAAATTCATCTGCTTGACGCATATCCGGCTCTCCAATAGTTGTTCGTTTTAGACTATATTTTCCAAGGCCGCTTCCGCATTTGAAAACAATTTTGAAAACCAATTTTATTGGTAGCGCCACTCAAATTTTTAAAAGGGATCTATTCAACCCCCCCTTCTAGATCCGTGCCTTAGTCTAACAAAGCTCATTTTGTTGATCAATTGAGTCTTGCTCCTCTAAATGTTTCTCAAAAGCATCATCTCTAGCCATTAGTGAAGGAAGGGCAACAACTGTAGCTATTTCGTCATTAAAAACATTGTTTCCACCACTACTAAGTGGCTGTCTCAAATTATGTTTTTAGTCATAAGCTTGTTCATACCAATCATACAACTTTTGTAAACTCTCTTTCATATCTTTGACCAATTCATTAGAAACCAGAGATCCAACTCCATATATATATCCTTAAAAATCCACTCAATATAACTCAACTTGTATCTTGGATCAAAGATAATACCAAAATATATCATCTTGTTCATCTTATCAGCACTCCCCCAATATGTATTATAGTTTTCCATCATCTCCCTAACCACACTTGTGAAAACATCATTTATGTTCATAATAGCTTGCTTCAGCTCATAGTAGATGGCAAATACTTTGTGAAAAGCAGTATGCAAACTCACATTTTGTGAGGTGGAAAAACATTAGTTGCTTCATAGAATAACTTCAGAAAAGCAGAAAAAACCCTAGTGATGTCCCAATCAGCACTACTAGGGGGTCTGCCTTTTCCAAAAAACTCTCTATAGCTCGACTCTTCACACTCAATCTTTTCAAAAGCGTCTTGGAATTTCTCTGCAGCCTATGGCATCAATGTCGTGTTCCAATGATTTAAAACATCGGGGCATACTAGTATTTTACAAGTTATTCTAGCAGATTCAATGCATATTTTAAGCTTGGCTGCCCTATAAGGTGATAACAACATCCCTAACACTAGTTATAGATAAATATATATCTTTCAAAACCTCATTTACCACCAAATTCAATATTTGAGCAACACACTTCATATGAAAACAATCTCTATCCCCTATCAACCCATTAATAGTTGTTCTTTTTTAAGATATGCTACAACATCATTTGCAATGACATTATAACTAATTATGGTAGACACATTCCTAATTCCCCAATCCTTTAACATTTTTTCAATCGTCCTACCTACAGTGTCACCCTTGTGGTTTGGAATTACTATGAAGCTTATAATTCATTTTTTATGGTTCCATTTGTTATCAACAAAGTATGTTGTAAGGGTCAGGTAATTAAGATTTTTGATAGAACTCCATCAATAAGTAGTAAGTGTTATCCTATTGCAATCATACTTAAAAAAATCTTTTAAATTTTGGTTTTCATCCAAGCGTAACTAAAATTAGTCCCTAGGTATTGTACGCCTAGATGGGATGGTAAATTGGAATTGCATTACTTTGGAATTAAATTAAAAACATTCACCCCCAACTGCATTAAATGATTCCTCTTTTAGAACCACCAAAAATTGACAAATCACTTCTACAAGTTTACTTGTCAAATCTGGAGCTAACATTAACCAACCTACCTTATACAGTTGGGTATGTAAGAATAGTTTAGGTCGGATCAGTTGACATAACAATGAGCTTCTTTGCACATTTTAAAATGTGATGGTTCATGTTGGTGGTACCATGAGCCATAGGGTAACATAAATATTTTTGTATGACTGTGTTTACAAGTTGTAGTCGGGGTATCAACTAAGTCATCAAGTAATATAATAAAGTGTTCCAAACAAGCAGATGATTGCCTAGAACTGCTTGCATTAGCTTTCCTCTTCTTTGTAGGTTGATTATTAACCAATTCAGGTCCAACAACTTCAGTTGTTGATGATCAACCAACTTCACTGATGACAATTTGAGTAGGTAGATTTTGATTAGGCTGTCTATCACTAAAATGAAGAAGGAGCCATAACCAACAACTACCAATCAAATTACACACATTATAATAGACAATCTTACACTTCAAGTGTATGGTTTCAAACTTGGGGGAAACATGTGGTTCATTACACACTACAACTTGCATACATTTCAAACAATCTCATACATTATCAATTCATATGCATAAAGCACATACAAACAATTTGCATGCATTTCTAAAGGCATAGAAGTTTGAAAATTTGAAAATCAGTTTGAAAACGAGTTAACAAACAGTCCTAGAATAGTTTAAACAGTTTGAATACATTTCTAAAGGCATAGAAGCTTGGCATACTATTCAACAAAACTTAATTCACATAGTGTTCAGGAAATCATTCTTGAAAATTTTGTAGCCATTTATCCCTCAAATATACTACTAGTATCTAGAATCACAGACAACACACATTGAAATTATATGAATATAAATAACCACATACAAGTAAAAATCACATGCAACTAACAATCACATAAAAGAATATCAGAAAACAAAACAACATTGAAAAACAATTTGTACTCTTACACTTAAATTGGCCCTGCTCTAAGACTCTTTCCATGCCACTTTGACCTTGATCCATCTTTCCAAATAAAAACAACAAACCATAAATCAAAATAATAAATATTTGATTACACTTGCAAAAATAACTTAACATTGCCCTATTGGGAATTGGTGGTTAAGCTTAACTAAAAAATAATTTGTATCTGAATCAAGGCCCTCACCGATAAAAATAACTCTCTTCAGCCAATCACTTACATACAATGCATATTCAAGAAGTGCAATATCTGAATCTACTTAACATTGCCCTATTGGGAATTGGTGGTTAAGCTTAATTAAAAAATAATTTGTATCTGAATCAAGGCCCTCACTGATAAAAATAACTCTCTTCAGCCAACCACTTACATACAATGCCTATTCAAGAAGTGCGGTATCTGAATCTACTTAACATTGCCCTATTGGGAATTGGTGGTTAAGCTTAATTAAAAAATAATTTGTATCTGAATCAAGGCCCTCACCGATAAAAATAACTCTCTTCAGCCAACCACTTACATACAATGCCTATTCAAGAAGTGCAGTATCTGAATCTACTGTCAAATGACACTTCTAGATATTGAATCAAAACCAAAATGAGTATTCAAAGCCCTAACTAGAAAAACCTAACAAATAAAAACTCTAAAGCAGAATAAAATCCTCCAACCTTGCAAACGAAAGTGATGAGAGAAGAAGAGAAACACTGAAGTGGAAGCTTGGTGGCGTGGAGAGTGGGAGAGAAACACAGACACACACACTCACGCCCGCACACACACACACGTCCGCACGCGCACACACACACATACCCACATGCACACGCACGCGCACACATCCACACACGCACGCGCGCACACTCAAAGAGAGAGAAAGTGTGCGCGTGTGTGTGTGCGCGCGCGCGCGCGTGTGCACGTGTGTGTCTGTGTGCACGCGCGATGTAAACCATATTAAACCGTGATCCATTATTCGCTACCCGACATGCCCATTTAAAACCATAGTAAACCGCAAGTGTCATCGATTGGGCCGTTTGAACCTGTCCATTTTTTTTCTTTCCTTGGGATGGATAGGCATTCGATTTTTGTCCACTCTTTATTGTAGATTATTTTAGAAGAAAATCAGTGTCTTAACCAAAATTGTTTTTAATGGTTTTGATTGTTGTTTAAACTTTAACTTAAAATTTTTTTATTAGAGTCCAAAAGTTTGATTGGCAGTACAATTTATTTGGGGGCACAGATTCAAACTCTAGTCGCCTCACTCCCCTAGTAGTGTTGGCCCCAATATAAAAATAAAGTAAAAAAATCTGATTAAAAGGAGAAAAACAAAATCTTGACATAAAAAGGACACATTGCATAAAATACACTCTAATTAACCTCTTTCTTGACATGAGAGGGAAAGAGGTGTAGAGAATTGTGTCTAAATTCTTAAGATTTTATAGAGTATGGTATATGAAAAAGATAAAGTAACTTCACTATTTCAAAGAAACTCATATTAGCTTAGACTTCTTATGAAAAACCTCTGAATTATCTACTTATTTATCTTATTTTAATTTTTCCAAAATTAACTTAAATTAACTGCATGTCATGGTTATTTAAGGTGACGCATTGTGATAAATTCCATGTAAAAAAAGAGTGCTGGCAAATATGCCAATAGAAAACTCAAATTGTTCACAATCTGATCCAAAAGCAGATTTCCATCAAGTGGAATTAAAACTATGTTAATTAGATGACTGCAGGAATTGCAACAGATTATATGCAAAAAGCTGAATCCAGGAATTGCAACAGATTATATGCAAAAAGCTGAATGCAGGAATTAAAATGTTATTATATACAACACAAATGTTATCAAGTACTGGACATGCTTTGTGAGTGCAGGATTGGTTTGTGCATGTTTGGGTTGGCGTTGAGATTGTCGGAATCACTATGGTTATAATAAAAAGTTACACTCAAGTGCTTTAACATAACCATGGTGTCACCGTGATTTACAAAATCACTGCCAATGCAAACATACATGAAACCTCACATGAAGCTGTTCCTAGCATTTGCAAAAGTACAACAATATCACATCAGGTATAGGCTCTGATATTAACAGGTACACCAACAGCAACCAAAAAGCATTTGATAGCGCATATCGTTACCATATAAGTTGCGGAGTAACCATCCTGAAACCAAAAACGGGCAAAAAATTATTCATACATGTAGCTTATCAATAGGACATAATGAAGCATGACACTTTCTAATGTAACAACAACCAAGAAGGAACCTCTCAAAAATTTAGTCAGCATTTTTGAAAATTAATTGTAACATCAGTAATAGAGAAAAAACTTGCATGAAAAACAAATAACATTTTAGTGTGTTTGGGAAGAAATAAAGGCACGATAATCTCCCTGAACCCACATCATAAATTTATGTACTTGAACTGATGTTCAATAAGCTATAGACAACAAACAAGCTCATATTGGACTCCAATTGAAATTCACAATTACAATCAGATTATGTTTATCATACCTAGCGCAATTTTTTCATGCGTTTAGAGGGTCGTGATGGCTCCTTTTTTGATTCCTCGAGAGGTTTTAAGTCAATAAATGGCTGAAACAGTTGAAATACAAAGAATAATCAACTAAATTGAAGTACTGTAATCAATTATCGCTTCATATTCTTATATTATGCTTTAACAACAAGCAATAACTGAAAATGAAAATGACAAAAAAGTAATATCATCTCTATGAAGTAATCCAAATAAGACTTCAAGGGGAGTTTACTTCACATTTGAATAAGAAATTAAGAACCACTTGAAAGAAAAAAATGTTGACAACCCATGAGGAATTCATGCAAAAACATTGTACTGAGTAGCTAATAATGGCACACTCATATGTGAGCATTGCTTCTAAAAGGAGAAGAGATGAAGGAAAGTCTGAACTTGTCACTGGTTATCTAGAAGTAATTGTGAAGTTATTTTTTTGAGAGAAATGGAGAGGACCATCAACAGTCTGTTCCTATGAGCACCCTGCCTGTTCTAATGATAATGTAATTTTTAAAGAAACTTGTTTCTAACATTTGAATTTATTGTTGCCAACAAATGTTTCATAGCTGATTTTACCTTGTTTTCTGTTTCATAGTTTTGAATAAGAAATGATTCAAAGTGTAAACAACATTAGAGTTTTTCAGTTTCCTATAAAAAAAACAAAGTGATACTTTAATAATTAAATGTATAAAAAAGGAAATGAAAACGGTGAATAGAAATAAAATTCATACATACGTTTAGGGGGGCGTTTACTTTATGAAAACATTTCCAATTTTCATTTTCATTTTTATTTTGTACATTGGGGTGGCTGTAATGGTATTTGGTTATGTATTATTCTTTTTAATCGTGATAGAAAGAAGATGAAAGCTAACTAGGGAGAATGCATTTCCAGAAAAAGTGAAAACAATGTTCTAACATTTTACAAAATTTTCAGAAATATGTAATTTATTTTCATAATGCATTTTCAAAAACTCTCCCAATGTCTTCTATAATGTTTATTTTATCGATGTAAATGAAAACAAGAAACGCCTTAGGTCCTTACATTTTCATATTCGAGAACCTAGAGCTTTTCATCTCCTTTTTGTCCCACAAAAATAAGACTATAAAACTGAAAATAAAATCAGTATATGTTTCATCCACTTTCATCATCCATACACCATACATTTCTATGTTTGATAAACAATGTTTTATTACAAATATAAGGAGAGTAGTCTAAAGAAAAAGGGCTTAAAACATCAGGTATCTATAAATCTTCGACTTATGATAAGGTGAATTTTCTTTTTCTAGGGTATGTTTCTTAGAACAATACTAAGCATTAATCATCTAAAATCAGCTAAGCTTATCTTACATCAACATATGGAAGTTGATGCTATTCTAAGGGACGTGAATCAAGCATTACTCTCTTCCTAATATCACTAAAATGCTAACAACTTACCTCTTAGGATTGACTTATTTGAAATTATCCACTACTGGAAACACTAGCAAGACTGTTTGGAGAGCTTGTGGAAACAAACAACTTATTTCCATAAGCCCGACAAGATAGCTTATTTAAACAACTTATAACTAATTAGAACACAGTTTGATATTATATTAACTTTTGTTATATGAATAACTTATAAATAAGCACATACATGATAAGCTCTAAATTAAGCTACTTAACCAAACATGTCATTATTAGTTTATGCAATGAATGTAAACAAAAAATGTGGAATTGAATGTAACCTCATCCCATTTAGTTTGAAGTTCCAAAAGCTCTTGACAATAGTGAAGGCATTCAGCATGGTATGCAGCAGCTAAGTCTTTGATTAAGGCCTTTCTTTTGATGATACCAACCACTTCAACAAAAATTAATTAATTAATTAAAAAAATTCAATAACCTATCAACCACAAAATTCATCACAATTGCAATGTACCAAATCGAAACCCTAAATTCAGTGAAATTCAATGTGCGAGAAAACAAAATTGAAAAATTGAAAAGATAAATGAAAAGGAAGAAGGAGAGATACTTCGACTGGGATCAAATGGTAACGGGGGATCGGAAGGTTGAGGGAGGTCCTGTTGTTGTTCGTTTTGTTCCGCCATGGATGATGCTTCTACGAATTCTACTACATGTTGTAGTCATCGTAGTTGTTTCTTCGTATAGAATGGGCTAACTTTTGGGCTTTTCTAATTTGGGTTTGGAAATGCAACAACTTGGGTTTTTATAGCTTGCTTATTTTGGTGAGAGATACTTTTTACACCCCTGTTTCTATAAAACTGCTAAATTCAAATAGAGAAAAAAAACACCTCTAGATGAGTAAATCTGAAAAAACAGATAAATCTATCCAGCACCCCACACCAGCAATTTCCCTCTCACATATTTTAATAGTATCAAAACTACTTATTATTCACCTCTCTCAAAGGCAACATTTTTTCTCTCTAAAAACACATAAAACGCAAAAAAATTTGATAGTTATATTAAAATTTTGGTATGTGTTCTTATCGTATTATTTAAAATATCCGGTGCATAATTAAGGTTAAGGGAATTTTGAAAATATGGTACACTGGATATTTTTCACACCCTTCAAAATGTGATAGTTATATTTTTTTTTTTTACAGTTTTGATTGCACAGACACCTTTATAGGATTATGATTACATCAACACTTTTGTATGGTCCATAATGATTTAAAACATGTATAAATATGTCTAATATGTTGTTAACAAAAATGACTCAAGAACGCTTGGATGAGATAATAAGGGTCTCTTCCAACTTAACCAGAAGTCATGAGTTCGAATCCCGTCTTGAGTATAAAGTAGTGTTAAATCTCTTGAGTGAGAGTGTTGTCGCCTATTATGGTCCGTATCTCATACCATACTCAAAGGAAATAAACTCCAACATCAACTCAAAACAAATAATACGTCTCGTTCCCGATATTACATAATAAAGCATATAGACCAATTAAATAGAGATAAGTGATGAAATAAACGAAGAAAAACTCGATCTTACTGGACGAAAATCCTACCTAACTCCAAATCATCAAATCATCTCAATTTCATCATTAAAATTATGGTTCCACTCCCCCTCGTTGCCGCTTCGGACGCCGTCGTTGCGGCGTGGCCCTCCCGAATTAAAACCTCTGTCGTCGCGTCGTGGTTTCTAGCGCGAAGCACACCCGCTGTTGCCATCGATCTGCGGCGCTCCCCCCCGCCATTGCAGTGCGTCCCTCCTAAATTCTGACATTCGCAACTTTGCCATACGGCTCCCCAACACGAATCGCTCCCGCCGCCCCTGCCTACCCGCAGAATGACTCTAGTTACCAACTGCCTCCAGTGGCCTGCCGCGGCGGCTCGTAAACCCCGAACCCCACCATTGCACATACTTAAATTTGTTTGCATAAGTTATAAACCATAAGTTAATTTTGTGTGCTTCAATTATACTCAACCTCTATGATAATGTGTTTTTTATGGTGTATTATTTTCAATTGCGCTTGTATCACACTTTAATGTCAATAGAAAATGAATACTGTAAGCAAAAATATTCATGGATCTATTATATGAGATTAGAACATCAATACTTACTTGTTGAAGTCATGATTCGGAATTCCGAATGGATGAATGACCGGATCTTCCTCTGTATCTCACACCCCCGTTCACAACTTTCAATGGGACAAGTTGTGGAGCCGTCAGTTATGTTTCTGATTCTTTTTGTGATTACAGAGGGGACCTAACCATATAATATATATAACCCTAGTCCCTACCCATTATGGGCCCAAGGTTAAAGCCCACACTTTTACCCACACCAATCAGGTTTCAGATACACAGCCATTACTTAAAAATTGATCACTTAATTAATTAAAGGGCTTATATATGCACCCCCATCAGAATCACGATTAAACCGTTTTTCACAAACTAAACTACAATTGGTTGTAGCCCATAAAAAGTTAGATAAATCTAGCATTCTCCCACTTGGGAAAAATCAATTGTATGATTTTTATTTTAAAATACATTTTGAAAACAGTGTTAAATCTCTTGAGTGAGAGTGTTGTCGCCTATTATGGTCCGTATCTCATACCATACTCAAAGGAAATAAACTCCAACATCAACTCAAAACAAATAATACGTCTCGTTCCCGATATTACATAATAAAGCATATAGACCAATTAAATAGAGATAAGTGATGAAATAAACGAAGAAAAACTCGATCTTACTGGACGAAAATCCTACCTAACTCCAAATCATCAAATCATCTCAATTTCATCATTAAAATTATGGTTCCACTCCCCCTCGTTGCCGCTTCGGACGCCGTCGTTGCGGCGTGGCCCTCCCGAATTAAAACCTCTGTCGTCGCGTCGTGGTTTCTAGCGCGAAGCACACCCGCTGTTGCCATCGATCTGCGGCGCTCCCCCCCGCCATTGCAGTGCGTCCCTCCTAAATTCTGACATTCGCAACTTTGCCATACGGCTCCCCAACACGAATCGCTCCCGCCGCCCCTGCCTACCCGCAGAATGACTCTAGTTACCAACTGCCTCCAGTGGCCTGCCGCGGCGGCTCGTAAACCCCGAACCCCACCATTGCACATACTTAAATTTGTTTGCATAAGTTATAAACCATAAGTTAATTTTGTGTGCTTCAATTATACTCAACCTCTATGATAATGTGTTTTTTATGGTGTATTATTTTCAATTGCGCTTGTATCACACTTTAATGTCAATAGAAAATGAATACTGTAAGCAAAAATATTCATGGATCTATTATATGAGATTAGAACATCAATACTTACTTGTTGAAGTCATGATTCGGAATTCCGAATGGATGAATGACCGGATCTTCCTCTGTATCTCACACCCCCGTTCACAACTTTCAATGGGACAAGTTGTGGAGCCGTCAGTTATGTTTCTGATTCTTTTTGTGATTACAGAGGGGACCTAACCATATAATATATATAACCCTAGTCCCTACCCATTATGGGCCCAAGGTTAAAGCCCACACTTTTACCCACACCAATCAGGTTTCAGATACACAGCCATTACTTAAAAATTGATCACTTAATTAATTAAAGGGCTTATATATGCACCCCCATCAGAATCACGATTAAACCGTTTTTCACAAACTAAACTACAATTGGTTGTAGCCCATAAAAAGTTAGATAAATCTAGCATTCTCCCACTTGGGAAAAATCAATTGTATGATTTTTATTTTAAAATACATTTTGAAAACGACTCTCAGGTTAATGACTAATTCCTTAAAATGCAGTCGCATTTTAAGGAAATCCATGATTCCAGGTGCAGTATTTGAATATGACTCCATCCAACAAAAGTTAAACAGTATTGAATCACGACGATTATTATGTCCTTCATTGACATAAAACCTTTCGTGGTTACAAATACTACATACTCCGTCAACTAGTCACCAGTGTGGAGTGTGGCAAGAAAGTAACATGCTAATGTGATCCAACAACCATCAACTATTTTCTTTGTCAGTCTTTAACAATTTCTCTCAAATGCATTAAAGACAAAGAAATTGTATGGTTTTACAAACCATAATACCTCAGCTCCAATATGGCGTCGACCACCGGCATAGCGGTCCTGACAACGCCGAGCTTAAAGTCATACCTCAGCTCCAATGTGGCATCAACCACCGGTATAGTGGTCCCGAAGACACCGAGCTTAAAATAATAACCATGTCTTGAACTCTAAACTAGTGTTGACCATAGGCACAATGGTTTCGATGACACAGAGTCCCAAATTTAGCAATTTACATGTAAATAAACAATGACAAATAATAATAATAATAATCATTGTAATATCAATTGCTTAAAATAGAAAGTATTTGACAATCCAACATTTAAAGTGTCCAAAATAAAATATAACATGATAAAAAAAAAACATAAAGAACAAACTCCCACTAACCAAGTACATCAAAAGAACTCACAATGCCCATGCTCTCAACATGGCTTTTGAACACAATGGGCCTAAGTCCCTTAGTTAGGGGATCAGCTAGCATGAAATCAGTACCAATGTACTCAACAACAATGTCATTTTTATTTACAAGATCTCTGACTGTCAAATACTTCAATTCCAAATGCTTAGAACCGCTAGAAGTTTTATTATCCTTAGAGTAGAACACAAATGAACTATTCTCACGGTAAAGCTTTAGTGGCTTTGTAATGGAATCAACAATACGAAGTCCAGTCACTAAATTTCTTAACCAAACAGCATGAGTGACATCAGCATAACAAGCAACAAACTCTGCCTGTATAGTAGAAGAGGCGACAAGAGTTTGCTTTTTACTCTTCCATGATATCGCACCTCCAGCCAACATAAAAATGTAACCAGAAATAGAATTTCTATCATCAACACACCCATCAAGATTAGAGTCAGTATACCCAACTATTTCCAAGTTGTCAACTCTCCTAAAAACAAGCATATACTCTTTAGTTCTTTGCAAATATCTCATCACTTTCTTAGCCACAATCCAATGATCATTCCCAGGATTAGACTGGTATCTGTTAGAACACAGATTTGTTCTTAATAATATCTCTATGTTTTGATGATAACTATTATGAAATTTTGTATTTAAGAATTATATACTCTAAAATTTCCTTGAGAAGTTTTACTGCAGATAGTAAAGGAATTATATCTCCAGAAGCAAATCAGAATTGAACACAAGAAATTAGCTAGACTCTATAGCGCCAGATGCATACTCTAGAAGATTCTGATTGCTGCCAACAGAAGATTCTGAGCGTAGCCTCCAGAAGATTCTGAAGCAGAAGCTCCAGAAGGATCTGAAGCAGAAGCTCCAGAAGAATCTGAAGCAAGTCAGAAGCATCTGAAGCAAAGAAGAATATTGCATGAAGAGCTTTTCAAAGCATAGTTTCTACAGAAGACTCTGAAAGTACTAAAGCTGTCAGTACTGAAGTTCTGTCTCAAATATGCTCTGATATTTAACACGCTGAAAGCACACCTGCTGCAGAAGACTCTGATTCAGCTAGACTCTGATCATCATTAGAAGACTCTGATCCAATAAGACTCTAATGAATTTGCTGAAAACTGAAGAAGAAATATTCAAAGATTATATCCATTGGAGTAAATCAAACCTCTCT